ACGACGCCATACACGCTGTCTGCCATCTTCCCTGTACAGTGAAAACCGGGATTCATCCTTGAAGAGAACACCTCTCCAAAGTGCCAGACGCTATCGAATGTGAGCATTTGCCCACTCAAGTCGGTTACGACGACGGACTGCAGTCAGGTCGAGACCCCGATGAGGATGACGAGCATGCAGATGAGTTTCCCTGAGACGGTTTCTGACAGTTTTAGAAATTCTTTGGTTATGCAAACCGATTGTTGCAGCAGCTGTCCGGGTGGCTGGTCTCAGACGATCTTGGAGGTGAAGATGCTGGATGTGGAGGTCCTGGGCTGGTGTGGTTACACGTGGTCTGCGATTGTGAGGCCGGTTGGATGTACTATCAAATTCTCTGAAACACCTTTGGAGACGGCTTATGGTAGAGAAATGAATATTCATTTCATGGGCAACAGCTCTGGTGGACATTCCTGCAGTCAGCATGCCAATTGCACGCTCCCTCAAAACTTGCGACATCTGTGGCATTGTGTTGTGTGATAAAACTGCACATTTTAGAGTGGCCTTTTATTGTGGCCAGCCTAAGGCACACCTGTGCAATAATCATGCTGTCTAATCAGCATCTTGATATGCCACACCTGTGAGGTGGATGGATTATCTCGGCAAAGGAGAAGTGCTCACTAACACAGATTTAGACAGATTTGTGAACAATATTTGAGAGAAATAGGCCTTTTTTGTACATAGAAAAAGTCTTAGATCTTTGAGTTCAGCTCATGAAAAATGGGGGCAAAAACAAAAGTTTTGCGTTTATAATTTTGTTCAGTGTATATATAATGATATTGATATTGAACAAATGTGCCCTTCGAAATGTGATTTCGCCCCTGCCCCTATGATGATACATCTCTGTACAAAAGAAAGCCTGTAATACTCAGAATTATTTGTGTACATAAAAGTGTGTGTGTGTGTTTGTGTGAATATGCATGCATCCACAAACCACACGCCTGAGACCTTCATATTTTAAGCCGGTCATTTTTGACCTCGACTTTAAACACCACAAGTGAGATTTGTTTTTGTTTTTTTGCAATTTTGTACAAAATAAAAGCTTTTCAAAACAATTTTCCTATTTAAACATTAGAGCATACTAGTGTGAAAAACAGTGCATTTTTTCATATTTTATTTAATATTGACAAAATTATACATAAGCTCATATCAATGAGGCCTACAACCAATCAGTTCCAAAAAAAAAAAAAAAGCCAGTCCTAAAAAAACTGTCCTAATTTAAAGAAACCAAGTTGACAAAAATATTGAATCCTATATTTGTTGATAATATAGCACAACAAGAGAATTATAAGCGATTTTTTTTGTAGGCCGGTCATTTTTGACTGGGAACACCACAAGTATAACAAGGTGCAATAAAATTCAAATAAATAAATAAAATATAAATAAATAACATTTTTAGAAGGAAGTAGTTATACCGTGTGTAAGCAAAGTCACAAAATTTTAGCCCAAATGCACATCCTCACCGGGTCAAAATTACCCGAACACAACCTGGGGGTTAAATAACTGAAATGATACTTTAATGAAATAAAAGTAAAACCGCTAGTATGTGGCGGCAAGTCACTGGCTGAATCTGAAATCGCCCTCTATACCCTCATTCACTATTCCCTACATTAGAGCACTAATACAGTTCACTAGAAGGAGTAAATGAAAACGAGTAAGTGAATTCGGACACTTAGTGCACTGGAAGGACTGTCGTTTTTGCATAGTTTTTGCTTGCTGTTTATTAATCATTTTGAAACTGGCAAACTTGCAGCTCCAGTAGTAAGACGTAAGGATTTATCTTGGACTCTGTCATGAAAATTATGTATAAACCCTAATTAAACAATTTACTAATAATTTTACAATGAATTTACACCTGTATTATGCTGTACATCGTGAATGAGCACTTTGTAAAATGAATGGATGGATGGATGATTCAGCTGCGGGTGCCATCTTTTGGCGAGACGTGACAATTTATTGGGTGCACGACTCTCAAAGTGAATTATTGGTATTCTCTAGTCCAGTGGTTCTCAAACCTCTCCATGAAGTACCCCCCCACTTCAGGTCTTGCAGTCTCCACTAATGAACTGAATCAGGTGTGATAGATGAGATAGACATACAAAATGTGCAGTGCTGGGTGTACTCCAGGACAGGTTTGGGAACCACTGCTCTAGTCATTGAGCATACATCATTTGTGTGCTCAAGGACTAGAGAATACCCAATTTACTTTATACTTTTTTAATTAATTAATTAATTAATTGGATTTAGTTGGTGCTTTCCCCATCAGATGTTGTTTTGTATTTTGTTCTGGCTTAAACAGGATGATGTGACATTTAGGTGCAAAAATGCACAATAGTAAACCAAAGCTGGAGGCTACAATGGCAAATATCTCCACAGCTACAGTCAATTTTCCAGGGGAACTGACATAAGCTGGTATAAATGTAATCCACACAGCACAAAATATGAGCATACTGAATGTGATGAATTTGGCTTCATTGAAGTTATCAGGCAGTGTGCGAGCCAGAAAAGCCAAAATGAAGCACAAAACAGCCAGTAGGCCAATATAACCCAGAACAGCAGAGAAACCTATAGTAGAACCTAGATGACATTCAAGAATGATTTTTTCTTGATAATATTTTGTATTTTTGTGGGGAAATGGGGGAGATATTGTTAGCCAAAGCACACAGATAAGAACCTGTATAAGTGTAAAGGCAAAAACACTGAGTCGTTGTTGTGCTGGCCCAAACCATTTCATGACATTACTTCCTGGAAGTGTAGCCTTGAAGGCCATTAACACCACTATTGTTTTCCCCAGAACACAGGAGATACAGGGGACAAAGGTGATTCCAAATGCTGTGTGACGCAACATACAGGACCACTCAGTGGGTCGACCAATGAAAGTAAGTGAACAGAGGAAACACAGAGTCAATGAGAAGAGCAGCAGGAAGCTCAGCTCTGAGTTGTTTGCTTTTACTATGGGGGTGTCCTTCTTGATGTAAAACAGGATGGCTACCAGCACAGTTAATCCTGCTCCAAACAGTGAGAAAAAGACTAGCACAATACTCATAATGTCTGTGAATGACAGAAATTCTACAGCCTTTAATATACATTTATTTTTCTGAGCATTAGACCAGTATTCCCCTGGACACTGCCTGCAGTTATTTGAATCTGGAAAGGAAGTTGCGATTACTAGTTAGAGACAAAAGGAAAATGGTTTATTTATTATTTATTAACTCCTTCGATAAGAAACTGCACCCTGAATAGTAGAAGAAGAATACATAATGAACAACTAACCAGTTTTCTTTGGAAATGTGAGATGGGCTGTAGGTTACCTGTCTCATTACTGATTTCTCCTTCTGCACATGGAATACAGTCATAACAGCAGACAGGTCTTCCTTTTTGTGTAGCCTTCCTAGTGCCTGGAGTACAGCTCTCACTGCACACAGACCTTGGCTTCTACATTGAAAAATATACATATAAAGAGTTAATATGCAAAAAAAAAAACACAGATAACTCTGTTTTTATTAATTTTCATAAATCATGTTTTTTTTGCATTCCAAGTA